GCACTCTATTACTAATGACTATTTGAAATAACTTGTTTTTGAACCCCCAAGGAGGTGCACACATTCTTGTGTACCCAGCCATGCCACCCTCCACTGGGGGGTCAGTACAATTCCAACAGAAACTTTAGCTTTAGGAAGAGTCACAAGCATTTAAAAGAATGGCTTTAATCATCGTGTTAGCTAAGTGGGGAAAAGCTTGCTTTAATTAAATATGTATCATACCCGTGATCCTGGCAAGGGTGAGGATTAGTTTTATTGTTAATGGCTATAAAAACTAGTTTGGCAATCTCTGTACAAGAATTAATTGTTTATAGAGGTCTATTTTTCTGTTGAATGAGAGACAACAGAAAATCTGGTTGTTAGTCTTTTTTGCTTATTATTCTATTTCTAATTCAACCCAAAAATTTCACATCCAATAGGAAAGAGAACAACTCTTTGATATCCAGACTGGTGAATCTTTATGCTTTTCTGTTTACTCTTGACTCATAGTTGAAACTATATCATCAAAGCCATAAATTCTCAATATGTCTGTGTGTCTATAATTCATAAAGGTCTTATGGCCTCACATAAATGTGAGGTGTTGTTATACCTCTGAAAGATATTAATTAAATTATATGATTTATTTCATTAAAGGAGCTCTGTTCTTACCAATGATTGGTGTGGATCTTAGCAGTGTATGAGGCAGAAATCAGAAATGAGCCAGTTCTTGAGCCATTTCTCTACTGCTGATGACCCTCTTTTTCAGGGTCCTATAAAGGGCGGGGTCCCTGTATGGGCTTCCCAATTTTACCGATCAGCTGAGGGTTCTTGCTCAAATCATATAGAAATCATGAACTGGCAGAGTGCATCTCTTTTAGTGTTAACAACCTGGAGCTTGAATCTCAGATCTTTTAGGGTTAGCATCCTTCCTTGCTTCTTGGAGTAACCAGCTACTATAGGTCTTGGGATCTCTTGGCCACTGGAGAGGGTGACTGCCAACAATTCTCTGACACTTTCTACTGATCTCTGCTGCTAACCATCTTCAGTGTTCCCAGCTCCAGCTACTAGCTGCTTTTGTTGTCAGTGGTCTTTGGTATTACCAGCTCTTAATGTACCAGTTTAATGTGCTCTAGTGAGGATAGAAATCATAAATAGGTAAAAGTATGCCATCTGAAAGGGGATTTATTCGGATGTATACTGCAGCATATGGGGGGAAGCCAATGTACAGAGATTGCCAAACGGTCAGACTGTAAGGACAAATTTTATTTATTGCCCTTTGCCGCACTCGGTCTCCTAATTAATTTGGCTCGATCTGCTAAAAGAACGTCCACCAGCCTTAAATAAATACAAAAGGGGAAGTTTATTGAAGGATATGCGCATACAGAAAACAAAAGTAAGAATGGAGAGGACAAAGAAAGAGGAGAGTCCTCTAACAGCAAGAGGGACTCCTCCGCTGGGAACCGGCTTGCCAAGGAGCCATGTGACCCCGCCGGGCCTGGCGTGACTGAGGACGAAGCGGACATGGGGAGCAGAGGCCACAGGCTTGCGGGAAGAGGGATTGTCCTTGGGGGCAGCCCCCGCTGGCCCGGGCACTCATCCAGGCCAGCGCCAGTGAGAGCAGAGGTGTCCTGTGGAACGCTCCAGGGCCGCCTGATCTGTAGCCCAGGCTGGTCTCGAGCTCACAGCGATCCTCCTGCCTCAGCCTCCGGAGTCCTGGGACTACAGGCGTGCGCCACCACGCCCGGCTCTATGAGGAGTTTTGAAACAACTAGCGCGCAGGTCGGACAGATCAGGCGGCCCTGGAGCGTTCCACAAGACACCTCTGCTCTCACTGGCGCTGGCCTGGATGAGTGCTAATAGGCCAGACTGTGTTTCTTCATATGCTAATTGCTACCTTGGTTAACAGCCCGCCCAGGGGCAAATGGTTTGACAAAAGGTGATGGTAGAACATTTCCTGCATGAGATAAGCAATGTGTTTGCAATCTTGTTCTGTGAATTCCCTGACTTGTTGTTTAGAAAAACCTTATAAAAAGTACCTCAGCCCCTGAGCAGTTGCCTCTCTGAGCTACCTGGCTCTGGGAGTGCCGTCTGGCCAGACTAATAAAGGTATATTTACCATCTAGCCTGGTGTGTTCCTTCCTGGGTTTCTCGTTTCTCCGTCGAGCTCCCGAAGCCTCGCTGGGTGTTAGGGCCCAGCATCGTGGAGGCCTTTCTGGCTGTTCACGCTCCGTGGAGTGGAAGCCCCTGAGCAGTTGCCTCTCTGAGCTACCTGGCTCTGGGAGTGCCGTCTGGCCAGACTAATAAAGGTATATTTACCATCTAGCCTGGTGTGTTCCTTCCTGGGTTTCTCGTTTCTCCGTCGAGCTCCCGAAGCCTCGCTGGGTGTTAGGGCCCAGCATCGTGGAGGCCTTTCTGGCTGTTCACGCTCCGTGGAGTGGAAGTGAGACTTTAAGTCTTACAGTGTGAGAAGAAATACTGTGGATTGAATCCAGCCAGAGTTTTCACACTGAGCTACGTCTCAGCCCCTTTTAATTTTGAGACAGTCTTGCTAAATCACTGCATCATCCAGCCTTGACCCCTCTGCCTCAGCCTTCCAGAGTGCTTAGACTGTATCATGGCATGTACTGTATGTATCACAATGTGCAGTTTCTCCACATTTTCATTGACTTTTTTTTCTTATTGGAATGGACCTCAAGCATAGCTCTTGGAGGGGCTTGCTGCCTGGTAAGCAGGGAAGCCAGAGCTATGACACAGTCTTTGCAGTCTTTGCAAAACAAAAGAGCTTTATTGTGCAGCTGAGCCAGCTTGGAGGCCAGGAGCTGAAAATTCAAAATCTGCCTCCCCCAGTCAATCCTGGTAGTGGGAGACTTCACAGGGAGGGAAAGGGAAGAAGCTGCCTGTCAGTGGAATGACCCTGTGAGAAGCATGTGTCTATTCTGGAGGGGGATGGCTGTGTTCTGCAGAGGGCACATTGTTGACTACAATGACATGCTGGCTTTTCCTGTTCAGGTTCATTCTTGAAACGCCAGTTCCAAATCCTTAGAAGTGCTGTAAAAGGCCTAGAGGCTTTCCCAGAAGACGAGAGAAGGAATTTATGTCCAACCGTGGGAGGGCTTGGGCCCCACGCCCCATTTCACAATTAAGTGTTCCTAATTCAAATGATAAAATGGGTTGTAGTGCTGTTGATGCTGAGTTCCGAGTTAATGAATTAACACAAAATATTAAATAAATCTTTAAATAAACACACATTAAAAACAAGTTATGTATCGATTGGTTCATCACCTGATCAGAGGCCCATAGATAACTAGCCCTATGTTTTCCTTACAGTTGAGTATTCATTAATTCAGTGTTCTCAGCAATTTTATAGAACCTAAACACTGTGAGTAATGAAAATAACTATACACCGAGGGAAAAGTATTTTTCAAAATCAACACAAAGGGAAAAAAAGCCTTTCCAACTGTTAGGCTTAGAGTCTAGACGCCTCTCCCCAAAGCCTCCCGGAGCTTTTCAGAGGTTACAGAATCTAGCGTGCATGATAGATGCCTGGTACAATGCTAAACTCGAGGGCACTAGGATTATGGGTGCGAGTGCTACCCATCTGAATAAGACAAAAGGAGCAGAAAGACTTCCTCTGTTGCTTTGCTACCTTCAGTCGACTTCTAGGAATTGTTGCCTCCCTTGCCACCCTGCCTTGGGGCTAGCCCATTACGGACTGAAACCTCTACAAACTGTGAGCTAAATAAACCTTTCCTCCTTTAACTTTGGGTGCTGGGTATTTTGTCTCAGCAAGGATAGAAAAGTAAATAAGACACCAAGAAACGTATACAGTCCTCTACCAAATACCCCATGAAAGCAGCGATCCTGCCTCCTCTCTCTACTTTATTCTTTCTCAGTGTTCTCTCTCTCACTCTTCCGTTCAATATTTTCCAAGAATCTATACTTTATACTAGATTTGATAGTGACGGACCCTCAACACACATGAACATTTATAAAATGTATTCTGTGGACGCATTACCACAAAATGTTCCATGGGAACTCAGAAAAGGATATTTTCTCAAATTGGGCATTCACCATTTGAATCTTCCCATTGCATTATAAAAAGGTAGGATTACATACATCATACATAATATATAAAGAATATATTACGAATCTTATCTCCCATTATAAAGAGGCAAAATTACATATATCATCTACATCTATCTATATAATTTATCTGTATATCTATAATCTTAGCTCTCATACACGAACCTACCCATAGGTCTTAAAAAAGCTGCCCCGACTTTTAATTCTCTCTGTGTCTTTAAGAGGAAAGTCAGGAATCTAGCCCTACTCGGAATTGGCTCCCCGGCTGCACACGCTGTGCGCATGCTCTGTAACGCAAACCGGAGTTCGTTCAGAGTTCAGCCTCTTCCCGGGCAAGATGGCGGCCTGGCCGGCGGCGGGACTGCAGCTCCCAGCATGCCTCGCAGCCGGGCCGCGACCCGGGACTCCGAGTGATGGGGACCTTGGGGAGCTTTAGGCCGGCGAGCGTGCAGTAGATTTTTTTTTGTGTGCGTGGAGCGCGGGGCCTGGGAACTGGACGCCCACGGAGGGAAAGATGGAAGCTTGGCGCTGTGTGAGGAGGGGCTACGGCCGCTGTGTGGTGGGCAGAGGCCGGTCAGTAGGGCTGTGGCCGGAGG